ATTGAACTGCAAGTATACAATTGACACTGCCTGATCATATTCTAGTAATTTTAAGTGAAAATTGTGAAACTATTCAGCAATCTCATCTATGAACTAATCATCAATATGTGTTTATGTTGTAGAATAGAAAATGGCACAACATTAACAACATTTGAGCTGCAAGTTACATGATTGAAACGGTTCAATGACTCTTTCTAGTTACAAATTATCTCTTTTAGATTTTTAATGCTAAATAGACAAAATGAAATGTTAGGAGAAGTCTATAATACATTTTGTTAAAAATGTACGGTACATAGAAAATCAAATGTCTAAGATTGAGCCATGTCATTAAAAGTGATCTGCAACAGGTAACTTTTTATAGTTATGAGCCAAAATCATATTTCTTCATAACTATAATCAAATTGATCATAACTTAGTCATAACCACATTTCATAACCAACGCCATTTTGTTCATAACTAATATAACCAACACTATTTTGTTCATAACTAATATCACATATCTCATAACCACATCTCATAATCAACTCATTTGAGTCATAACCAACATCACATATCTCATAACCACTAGCCACATATCTCATAACTAACACTCTTTTGCTCATAACCACTCCACTTTGATCATAACCAATATCACATATCTCATAACTATTGATCACATATCTCATAGCTATTACCCACATGAATCATAACCACGTCTCATAACCAACTCCTTTAAGCCATAACTAACATCACATATCTCATAACCACTAGCCACATATCTCATAACTAACACTCTTTTGCTCATAACCACTCCACTTTGATCATAACCAATATCACATATCTCATAACTATTGATCACATATCTCATAGCTATTACCCACATGAATCATAACCACGTCTCATAACCAACTCCTTTAAGCCATAACTAACATCACATATCTCATAACCACTAGCCACATATCTCATAACTAACACTCTTTTGCTCATAACCACTCCACTTTGATCATAACCAATATCACATATCTCATAACTATTGATCACATATCTCATAGCTATTACCCACATGAATCATAACCACGTCTCATAACCAACTCCTTTAAGCCATAACTAACATCACATATCTCATAACCACTAGCCACATATCTCATAACTAACACTCTTTTGCTCATAACCACTCCACTTTGATCATAACCAATATCACATATCTCATAACTATTGATCACATATCTCATAGCTATTACCCACATGAATCATAACCACGTCTCATAACCAACTCCTTTAAGCCATAACTAACATCACATATCTCATAACCACTAGCCACATATCTCATAACTAACACTCTTTTGCTCATAACCACTCCACTTTGATCATAACCAATATCACATATCTCATAACTATTGATCACATATCTCATAGCTATTACCCACATGAATCATAACCACGTCTCATAACCAACTCCTTTAAGCCATAACTAACATCACATATCTCATAACCACTAGTCACATATCTCATAACCAACAACCCCTTTTTGCTCATAACCACACCACTTTGATCATAACCAATATCTCATATCTCATAACCACTAACACATATAGCATAACCAAGCACCCTTTGACACCACTTTGCTCATAACCAAAATCACATATCTTATAATCGCTAATCAAATATCTCATAACCAACATCACATATGTCATAACTACTAATCACATATCTCATAACTACACCACTTTGCTCATAACCAAAATTACATATCTAATAATCACTAATCATATATCTCATAACCTTTACCCACTTATGTCATAACTACATCTCATAACCAAAACTATTGAAAAATGAATATTACGCATTTTGTTGTACTATTTTGTTATCTCGGTCCTCTTCATCCCTCAAACATCTATCTCATTCTTTATTGTCAATGTAGATATCTCCGATGTTCCTTATCGGAAACGACAACACCTTTGATGTCATTTTCACAGGCAATAAGCCCGTTCAGTCTCTCTTTCTCATATTCCCTTTCCTCTCGCTCTACTAGCTAGTCTTTTCTAACTCTCATTTTCTGTTCCATGGCTTTAAGTCAATTAAATTATTTAATAATTGTCATTACAATTTGTTTTCTCTGTATTATGAGAGATCCCGATTGGTGATTCTAAGATTTTTAGTGATTTGTTTAGTCATTTTATGATAATTGTTATGAAACTTTGTTGTTTGATTACAATATTTGTGATTTATAGAAAATTTGGATATTTTTACTACATCAATTAGTTGTGTTGTTACGCATTTTGTGATTGATGTTATAAAGATTTTTGGGTTGGTTATGACATATTAGATTTGTAAAAATTTAGATTTTTATTATTATGACAATTAGTAGTGCAGTAACCCATTTTGTAGTTTGTTATTAAATTTTGTGAGTTGAACATTTGTGGTTTTTAAAATTTTTACATGTTTTTGTTACACCAAATAGTGGGTAGTTGTATAATTTTTGGTTAAATAATACGAAATTTTGGGAATTAGTTACGACATTTGTGATTTTCTATAATTTTAAACAATTTTGTTACGCCAATTAGTGATGGCGTTATGTATTTTGTGTTTTATATCTTTGTGACTTGATTATGATAATTGTGGTTTCTAAAATTTTAAATATTTTTTACGTCAATTAATGGTATGATTTTTTGTAGTTGATGAGTAAAATAGTCTTTTTTTATTAATTTTACTTAATAAAAACAGATGAAGGATTTATATTAAAAATAAATAAAAAAATTTAAGTATAAATTGACAAAATTATAAATTAATAATTTATTTTAGGAAAAATTACTCATAAATCCCATGTGGGAGAATGTTGCTCTATATAATCCTCAGTGTTTTCTCAAAAACCATTTAGTCCTTTTTCATTTTTGATATGATTTTTTTTAAAAGTATTGTATATCTAGTTGACTATTTTGCCCATATTTTTTTAAAAGGTATGGGATAACATTCCTTTTTTGAAGGGGGGGTGTGTGTGGACTGCGGGATGATGGGGGGATATTGTGGTGTTTCCCAGTTGGTGTTTGTGTTGTGTTTGAAGACGCTTCTTGAGGTGTGGATGGTTTTTGGGTGTTACTGTTCAAGTCTTCTGCTTTTTACAGTTTTCTTCGAAACGGTGGGTCTGCTTTTGTTGTTTTTCAATTCACTCTTTCTCGATTTGATTTTTCTGTTTGTGGGTGTAATATGTCTTCTGGTTTTTGTTATGTTTTGCGCCATTGTAACTTGGGGGTTGGGTTTTTGTAATGTGTCGTGTGGGGGGGTTGGCATTGGGGGTTTTTGCAATGTTCGAATATGTGTGTGTGGGAGGTTTGTCAATGGTGATTAGACATTCATATTGTAGATTTAAACCACGAACATGTTCTGATTAGACATTCTGAATAAAGATTTTTGCAATGTTCGAATATGTGTTTGTGTGGGTTTGCCAATTGTTCTGATTTTCGCACACTGAATTAAAAATTCAGAATGTAGATTTAGACCATGAACAGGAACATTGTGCCACCGTTAACTGCAGTTTTTTTAATGTTCTATTCTGTTCTATTTTGTGTTTTATTTTTCCACATTAGAGTAAACATTAAACACGACAGAACGTTGGTTATGGATTTATAATATACCTCTTATTCTGCTAACGTCGTCTACATGTGAATGTGTAATTGAATGACAGATTGTTTTCCTTTGTACATTGGGCATGGTAGAATGTTTGCACCAATTGTTTCCTAAAAATTTACAATAAGTTCTTAATGTTTGGGGGTGTTTCAAATATCAGTATCACCTGTGTAGCAATTTTTAATCCCAATTATGGTAGATTCAACAACCATATGTGTTTGTGGATGCTTCAAAATATTCAGCGGATACGTTCTCTGATTCGCAAACTCGTAAATGTGGCTATTTTTTTCCCCCCATCATTTAATGTGGGTTTTTTTGTTAGGCATGGAGTTCGCGGTGTTGGTGGTGGGTATGTTCGGTCAGACAAATGTGGTGTTACGTATCTACCAAACCTTCGCATATGATCAGTTGGTTGACAGTTTTTGTAACAAATTTGATATTTTCGACCGGGGTTCGGTTTATTTTATGTTCACCATTCCTAGGTACAACAAGTTTAAGATTGAAGGCGATGATGATGTGCAGAACATGTTGTCACTTGCCAAGTCATATCGACGTGCTATGCGAAATAATGTGTCAGGCAGTCAACTTGGTGTAGCAAGGTCCCCTGATGATGGTCCGAGCAAGACTACGGATTGGCGGATGGCCAATATGGAGAACCGTACTGATTTGTTATTGGATTATTGTACCCATAAGAAGAAGATGTTCTTGTCCGCTGGATGGGCATTCGGTATCACAAAAGTTGGCTAACCTTTTTTTGGGGGTGTGCATGAATTCCGGACGGTACTTTGCAAGTATGTCGTTGAATGTGGTTTTCAGTTTAAGTACGTGAAGAACGACTCAGTCCGTGTAACTGTCGTATGTAAGTTCGCAACGTCAACAGGATGTGCGTGGCTGATTCACTCAAGGGTGTTTGCTTTGAATGGGATTTTCTATTTGAAAAAGTTCAACCCCGTGCATTCTTGTGGGGCTGCTGTACGTACATACAGAAACCCACGGACGGGGTCAGATTTGGTTTCCGACGTTATCGCATGTTGTGTGCGTGAACAACTGCTGACACGCCCAACCGACGTCATGTTTGACATGAAAGATGGCTACGGGTTGGACATTAGTTACCGAGTTGCTTGGCTAGGAGTGGAAAAAGCGCGTACTGAAGTATTCGATAATCATGATATGTCGTTCGACCAACTCAAGTGGTACAGCGACGCTGTTATGCATAACAACCCACATAGTTATATCGATTTGGAATTCGAGCAACAAACTGGATGCTTTGTGAGGTATTTCATAGCTTTTCGTGCATGCATTGATGGGTTCAACAATTGTCGTCCACTTTTTATTTTTGGACGGTACATTTTTCAAAGGAAGATTCAAGGGTACGTTGCTCTCGACGACCGCTAAAGATGGGAACCAAGGTATGCTATGTTTATATTTTTTAAATGGGTTTCTTGTACAGTTTCATTTTTGTGTTATACTAATCTCAAGCATCACAAACATTATCTTCAAGCTCTTGCTTAATTTTTTCGCTTCCCTAAATTTTAAATTCTATTACGAACTCATTATTGACGTACACATTACATAAACACATCTTCTACAGGCTTATTCCCCGTCGATTTTGCTATTGTCGACTCTGAGAACATCTGTAACTGGGAGTGGCTTTTGCGCCATTTGTCTGAACTTATAGACTGTTCTAGAAATTTAACTTTTGTATCCGACTATAATGCGGGGTTGGTACAATCGATGCGCACCGTCTTCCCAACTGCACACCATGCATTTTGCTTGTTACATCTGCAGATGAATCTTCGAGACTGCATGACATACGTTAATACTGATCAAAAAAATGGCTTATTGCAGAAGTTGCGTGAATGCGCTTACGCCCTTACAGTTAATGCTTTCAACCAAAAAATAGATATTCTATTACAATGTAGCCCAGTGGTAGTTGGCAATTTTTTGAAAGATTTGGAGCCTCAACATTGGTCCAATGCATACTTCAGGTATCATGCTACTAACATATACATTAATCAATATATTCTCAACTACTAAATCTTTACGGATTTAATTTTAATTTTTTTTAAAATTTAATTTTCACGCAGGGGACGTAGGTGTGGCGAGATGTGGTCTAATGCTGCCGAGTCTTTCAACAGTTGGATACGAGAAGTTCATCACCTTCCCATTACTCAGCTGGTCGACGCGGTTAGGGGTAAGATCATGGAACAAAGGTCAAAGCGTAAAGTGAAATCCATGGAGTGGGTGGGTGAGATCTGCCCCAAAATGGAAAAGATTTTAGTTGTTGTGTACGAAGATAGTAGGTCATGGCTGGTTAGTCAGTCGGATGACAATGTGTTCGAGGTTCGTTCACATCCATTAGTATTAGTCGACATTGGCAACCGTTCATGTTCCTGTTTCCAGTGGCAGCTAAATAGGTTTCCGTGTTCACACGCTGTTGTTGCTTTCAGAAATAGTGGAAAAAACATTTACAACGCCATAGAATCGTTTTACCACATTGACAAGTATAAGGCAGCGTATGGGGGTTCCATCCACCCAATTCCAACTGTGGGGAAACCAAATTTTAGGGTAGCAGACTATCTCATTACGCCACTGTAGATGTCCCTGAACGCCCCGGGAGGGAAATCCCTTTTTGTTCATTTGGGCTCACTACAGCTTGGACTCAATTGTCATGGTCCTGTATCTTATCTCGCAGAGTGCAATGCAAGACCGATGAATCATCAAAGAGTCCAAATCCGGCAAATCGTTTTGAAAAACTGATTTTTAGAAAGAAGTGTCAAATATGGACTGCTTTGCCAGATACAGAGTTGCCACCTAAATATTTTATTTTGGGGGAATTTAGGAAATCCTGACTCGTTTGCCTAAGGCTACGCGTCCGTTATCACCAAAGTTGCCTCGGCTCGAGAACTTAGGTACGATTGGGGAAGGTCACTTCGTGAGCACCCCCGCTCGCCTGATCAAAGATCGGCCTCTACTAACCATGATATCGAGTTCTGAAAACATTATGGGCTCTTATTCCGGTTATTAGCCTAGATTTACTACGTGAAGCGCACAGCATACAAGTATAGATTAAATCGCCTGAATTAGAATAAAACACCTCATGTTTGCTTTTGAAACGGTTTGCTACTCACAAGTAGGCTAAAATACGAATTTGCCACCCTCAGGTGGGCTTAGAAAACAAGATGATTTACCACTCTCAAGTGGGTTTAAAACTCACAGTCAATGCATTATTCCAATTCAAATAATCCAACCTTCACCCACAGGCATTCAGGCAGGTATATCACATAAGCAGTTAGCCTCATGGTAAACATGCTATCATGGCAGTCACTCACACGCATGCAAGGATGCTAAAGCATAAACACTTACCGAGTACTCCGTGCTAGAACAGAAACTAGTTAGTAATCAATGCATGATCCTAGTTCATGTTAAGATGGTTAATGCAACACATGCAAAATGTAACTAGAAATAGGCTCGGCTATCCTAAGAATGGCATGAGATGCTACAGCTAACACGTGTTCAACTTGGAATTGGAATACAATGCAGTTAGTATGATGCGCCGAGCCCGGTGCATACAAGACAGATGAATGAATGCAAACATGCGAGCATAAGTATGCTAATTGAAACATGCCCTAATCTAACCAGTATAAGCTGATAAATAAAAGGGAGAAAGACGTGAGGTTGGAAGACATACATCACACACACGCACACTTATTACATCATTGCCCCCCTCCAGGGGTTCAAATAAATAATATAGCCCGAATAAATAACAGCTACAGCTAATTATTACACAACATTAACTAATTAACAAACTAGCTAAGTAAGCATGTGAACTACATGAATGTGACTACCTCAGCTCTGTTTTGGGTGACGATGGATGCATGCATGCTCGAGTCACCTCGTCGGGAAATTCCATCGCGATGCCTCGTCTCGCCTTTGTTTGCAACTGATTTTAGAAATTTGCACAAGGCTCCAAGAGGCTGAAACTCCACCCTGGGGAGGTTGCCGACCAGATATTGGCTTGGGAAACACCTGCCGACCACCCTTTGTGGTGGAAACCAAAAAAAGTGGTCGGCCTGCCAGAAAACATGGTCGGCCGACCACTTTCTGCCCCTAGATTCTGGTTTTTCTGCAACAAAGGCAAGAGGGAGAGAAAGCAAGGTATTTTCAACATATGTGTGCAAGACCATTTTCCCCGTCCTTGCACAAGCTCAAGTGAGTGTAGACCTCGATCCTCGTGCCACCAATTACGCATCTCGACGCATGATGGCCGAGGAGTCGAATTGCATGACTCAATGTGAAATGAATACACATATAAACACAACAAGGCCTAAACTCCATCATGGGTAATTTGGAGTGTCGGCGATCGGAAATTGAGACACGTTTCGTTGCTTTGAGTATGAAATGCCCCTCATTTCCCGTGTTTGGGCTAACCTTACTCCAAATACAATGCAATGAGATGGGATACACAATGCGACTAACGTGCAACCCTAAATGCAATGCAACCTAATCACGCTGGCATGCGAGGGATGATATGCACACATGCAACCTAGCATACGCAATGCTATGGACTAAAATAGCATACACAATGCACACATACGAAGATGGACATACACAAAGGCATAATCAAAGCATACACAATGCGATGGTCAAACATGCAACAACATGAACCAAATGGCATAAACAATGCAAGCTGGACTTAAACCAATATGAGTGGACCTCAGCCACACTCACGTCAGTGGCCATATGATGAAAATGAGACAACCGAAATACATACAAATATGCACGAATGCAAAAGACCGATCCTAAGGCACAACATGCAACTTTAACTAAGCATGGCAGAGGATGAAATATGGCATAGAATGGCACATGATACAGCTCTGAAATGGCATAAAAGATGGTCCCGAAACATGCAAACATGTCACCCAATGCATGCTAGAAGGCCCGGGTACCGAAACTAGTGAAGCGGATTACACAAGAGGTACACAAAGCAATGCACATATGGCAAAACCAACCCCAAACAGACCCTAAGAAGGTCTAAAACAGTGGGGAAATGGCCTAAAATGATGGCTCGGAATGCAAAGAAATGGAGCTCATTCAATGGTCTGAAAACAAGGCATTCATGGACAACTCTCAAGCACACTTAAGGAGTAGAAAACATGGCAATGTGGCCTTCATACAAGCTCTGAAATATGATGTATAATGGACTCAAAACATGAACACACCTCAGTATATACATGGAATGAGCCTCAAAACTCAAAGTTAAGCATGGGTATTGAACTACAAGCATGCAAAACAAACATCATTCAATCATGAGACCCAAAAACAGAGCTAGGACAGTCCAAAATACGCACAATATCAGTTTAAGGTATGGCCAAAAGGTGCTAACATGAAGGGTCAACAAAGCATGTGAAGTAAGCTAGTGAACCATGATTTACACTACACGTATATGAAGCACATGAGGGCTCACCAAACCAACCAAAAACAGAAGTATGCCATGCCAAAATATGCCCAAATAACCATTGAAACTCAGTCAACAAACGCAAGAATGAAGTACTCATTTAAAAGGCCATGCAAGAGGTTGTTCTACACATGTATGATGGACACACAAAATGGAAAAACCACCTCTAGACAGAGGTTATGAGGGTCCTAAAACCCACCAAAAAGGCCCTGAAATTAGTCTAAGAAGCATGCAAGTGAAAGCCCCTTTGAAAGGCCTTGAATAGGTTATGCAGACCTTAAAACTCACCAAATAGGGCCTGAAACATGACTTTAAAACATGCAAATAAGGGGCCCTTTGGAAAGCCAACAAAGCTAGTAAAGAGAACAAGGGGTGAGAGGATCACCCCTCTATGATTTTGAAGCTCAAAGACACATGTTAGCCACTGAAAATCCACTGGATTTCAGTGGCTAAAAGGCCAAACCAAGGCCAATGCAAATGCTCAAATGTATAGCTCAAAACATGAGGAAATGAAGCATGGAAGGGGGTAGATTACCCTCAACAGAAAAATAACCTTAAGCAAACATGTTTATAAGCTCAAAAGAAAATTTTTTTTAGCTTATGTCGAAACCCAAAAATGCTTGCAAATAGGGCTAAGATATGAAGCAAAATAATGCAAAAAAATGAGAAATAGAGGCTTACCCTTGTAAAGCCGACCCTCAACAACTTCTGGACCAAGGTAATGAGCCTTCAACCTCTGCAAATCAGTTCCAAGGTGCTTGGATGGATGGTGGAGGTGTTGTGCTAGAAGGTGTAGTGTAATGGGTGCAAGAATAATGGGGTTTGGAGCTTGAAGAAGAGAGCTATGGAGGGAAGTGGACGTATGCTCCAGCCAAAAGTGTTCAACCTTTGCAAATGGAGAGGAGAGCCTCTCTTATAGAAGACAAAGGGCCAAGGCTTCTTGGAGAAGCCTCAAGTAAAGGGTGTAAGCTTCTAAAAGAAGCTAAACCAAAAGGGTCAAGCTTCTTGAGGAAGCTAGACCAAAGGGGTCAAGCTTCCTCAAGAAGCTTGACAAAAGGTCAAGTTTTCCTTAGAAGCTAAGCAAAAGGGGCCAAATCTTCCTTAAGAAGACAAACAAAAGGGTCAAATCTCGGAGGATGGGGCAAATGCCTCCCAGCTGGCACAACTGCAATGTACTCAAAAAGGGTCAAGTTGAAAAGGTTGTCGACCATACCAGATTGGTGGCCTTCCAAATGAGTGCAACACAGTGATGGTATGTGAGACCAGAAAATGTGGCTCACAAGTAAGAAAAACCAGCTTTCAAAGAAGGTTCAAAAGGGTCAATCACCAAAGGTGGTCGGCCATACCAAATAGGTGGCCTCCCAGATGAATGCAACACAATGGTGGTATAGGAGACCAGAAATTATGGCCCAAAAGTAAGGGAGACCAGTTTCTCGACAAGAAAACTAGCTGGAGGAGAGAGAAAAGTGGTCTCTGAGGAGAAAGTTGGTTTACAAGAACAAAAGGTGGTCTCCCACCCTTGTACCACCTTCCTAACAATGAAACTAGGGTCCATGCCAAAAATGAACCCTAACCGATGCAAAACGAGGGTTCGGGGGCCAAAACGCGCAGCTGGGGGCCCCAAAAACTAACTGTTAAGCTCCGGAAGTGGCGCGCGACCCCGAAGGTGGTCTCCCGGGCCACAGTGTCCCTCTAAGGAGAGGAAACAAGGTGTGTGCCAAAAACTGGAGCAAACGGAGGTAGTTAAGTGGTCCCGAACCGAGGCACACGGCCGACGGCTCCGAAAAATCGGAAACTAGTCTCCAAACGGGAAAAATGGCCTATGACCACGAAACATAGCCTACGGCCACTAAGAGATGGTCTACGAGACCTGTCCCTCCCTTCGGGAAGAGAAAATGGAGAAAACAGGACCTGGTTCATAAACTAAGGCAAAGCACAAAAGAGTCCCAAAGTCCAGAGGCAAGGCTCTCACCCGAGACTCTGAAACCTCAGAATGAGCACAATATGCATCATCACTGAGCGCTCCATCGGTGACGTCTGAGTCTTAAGGTCGGTCAAAAATGAGGTGTCTACAGCCACCTGTGTACAAGCGTCCGTCCGGTAGACTGAAGCGGAAAAGAATTCCATCGAAGGGCGAGAT